TTTTTTTTGTTCCCTATCATGAGCCAAGCGGTTATTGAATTCAATTATTCTCCAATTATCTGAACTCATCCCGTCGAGCTGGAAAAGATGACTAATGAATGTTTTGGAAAAGTTTCATCGTCGCATGCACCACGCCCAAGTGTTCCACCTTATGCTGATTAATATTAGTTCGTTCGGGAACTATTCGCAAGAAATTCTTAGTAATTTAGATTTTTCTGGTGTATTCTAGGATTTTCATAGGCTTGTTACTGAAAAATGATGGGTACATGACTGCAATACTTCTTTAGCAAGGTGATCTGCGTGTAAGAAAGAAGGTCTCTCAAACTTGGAGTTCTGCCAGCAGTACCTTTCGATTCGTTTCAATACAAATTTGAGTGCGGCCTTTAGACACAGTGAAAGCTCCACTTCCCTACATCATCCCGATTGTGGTCTGAGGACTTGGCTGCTTTCAGACCTTAAAGGCACTGTTAACGACTAAATGGTTTCGAAGATATGCACATGGTTAGAATTCTGAGCCCCCTCTGATAACATTTGTGCAGGAATTAGGTCGGAAAACGGCTGGATAGGGCACAATAAGGCCAGGAACAGTGGGGGACGCGATGCCTCCGCCCCTCGTTAGGCTGACTACGTGTTCAAGTTGTCCTTCAACACGTTCGCACTGGAGCGAAGCTGGTGAAAAGTCGATAAGCTGGTTGGCAAATTGCCAGAGACGCAATGTGATGTCTGCTATTGCAGACAGCACATTGCGTCGCCTTCGTGCACTCGTCCGAACACTCCATAACCGCCGTTTTCCAATGTGAAAGATGTCCAACCCCACTTTCTAGCACTTTTTTTGTCCCTTTGTAATACTTTTTGTTGCTCGTTTTTTTGCGCTTTTTCGTTGTTATCGCTTTATTCTGAAGTAGTTCTACCTATTACCGTCAAAAAAAGGGCATCCTTACTTTTTTGTCAACAGTGCCTTTAAAGGCACTGTTCACGACAAAAATGATTTCCGAGATTCCACCACAGGATGAATTTGACCCTGCGTATACCATATCTGGCACTATTAGGCCGGAAAACAGCCTAGTTAGGGAGTTATATAGGCTCAAGCATTGACCCGTGTGTATCCTCGGACGAGTTTCACAGGCATTGTAGAGGAAAGCACGGATCACAAGTGAGTCCATGCAAGAAGTTCAAACAGCCTGTCATGACCCATAGCGACAGCGAAACACAGTTCTGTACAGTTCTGGTTTGATGTGGTCAACCTTTGTGCAATTGCATTTACTGAAATTCATCCGAATACCCCTTCCATGTTATTCCCGTCATGGCAATCTCGTCCAACCTCTATTTCCCCTACTTTTGAGGAGCCATGCTTCTCTCGAAATCGGCGAGTTTTCTCGCCTTCCTCACTACCGATGAACTACTCCAATCTATGCTTCCACTTTTCGAATAAAAACGGGTTCCTCAAAATTATCGTGAACAGTGCCTTTAACGTCCGTCTGTCCGTCCGACGCGTGCATGCTGCGACGGCGGCGCCTGACCGTTGTTGACAACACTAGATCACGTGCCAGCGCTGTCAACACTACTCTAGCGACCGCCATCGCAGCACGCACGCATCGGACGAACGGACGGACGGCCGGACGCTCGTCGAAGTCTGAAAGCGGCCTTTGGACTTGTCCTCAGACCACAAGTGGACTTTTTCAGGTAAGAAAACTTTGAAACTCAGACTCAGACCAAAAGTCCACAAAGATTGTAGACTTTTGGTCTGAGCCTGAATTTCTATTTTTTATTACCAGAGCAATCGATCGAAGGCTCCTGAAAAAGCCTAGTCGAGTTGAAAAGCGACCTTCAATGTGATAAAATAGAAAAATTGGGCTGACCCTCACACGCCATACGGTAGAACTAAAAAGAAAGTCTCCGACAGAATTTTAGAAGGTGATAACATTCAAATTCGAGTACATTTTTCTAAATGCAATCGGCTGATGAACACCCCCTTCGCCGTCATAATTCGTCTAACCTTGGAAGTGATCGGAAGGCTATGTATTCAGGAGTTCTGCAGATTCTCCGCCTCTTTTGTCACCGATGGACTGTTGCATCAACATTTTCGTTTGTTTTCTATTTTCTTTATTTGATTTCAATTTTCTTTGCCTTTAGCGATGTTCGGTCACCTTTCTGAGGTCTATCAGCACTAGGCTTGTTTTTCATGGCTTCATGGAGGTATTCCTAACTTCATGAGCTCAGTTTTTCGGCGCCATCTCACCACTTAATTCCTACTTTTCTCGATATGCGCTGGGGTTTTCAAGTCAATCCAGCATTTTTCGAATATCAAGTGTCTAGCTCGCTACCTAGTTGTGCAGTTTATTATGTCGGAGAGGATTATGATAGAACTTCACAAAGTTTTTTTTGAAAGGCGTAACTCGTTGTGAAAATTGGTGCGAGAACTGGTTTCTAATATCGCCACCAACTGGGAGACTACCAATGGAACGAGTCTGATGAATGAGCTGAGGCTGGTACCTGCTCTCAGCTTTTTCAGGATTCTCTAATTAGCAAAGAACTAGAAATATACCTCACTAGAGGATGTTTCGATAATGATGTCAGATATGGTAGCTATAAGCGACCCCTACTATTCAAGAATCTACCGCATGCTCTAATTTAGTGAATTGGTATCAGTATAGAAACGCCGATACATATTCATTATATTGTCGTTTTCGAATTTCCTCATCCAAAGCAAATGTCCTAAATCACGGAAATGATTTTAATAAAAAGCTTCAATGATTTACAATTTAAACATAAAAATAGTGCATCGGCCCAAAAGACCTTCAATCCGCTTGAAACTATATTATACGATACTGAATATGTTAAGACATGGGCTCCAACCTAAATAGTCTTCGGCTTGTTGGAGATGAAAGGCAAAACTGTAAATCCTAAATCGGGAATTCACTCGACTAGTTGCATTTTACACAGTCTCCGTTCTTGTTCCGCCGAAATCCTTTATGCGTTAGACACTGACATCGAGCAGGCTGGCACATTCGTGGACACGGCTGAAATTTCAGAAATAAGGTAGTAAAACTGGTCCCAGGAGATTGCAGTATACACTCCTACACTTTGTTTATATTTAAGCGCGCTCATGAAATTTTCACTGTGGTGTCTCAACTTTTATAGTAGGTAACAACCGTCGCACGGCGAGACAACTAACTAGGACAGCGCGCTAAGACATGGCGTCAAGCGAGGTAACTAGTTAAAAGTCGTCGTCGCGCGCGGTAGTTGGATAGAATTATATGCCATATACTTGTTATAGCTTGGCTACCATAGCTGTTATTATTTTTTCATATTCTTATATTAGTGCTTTATCTAGTAAATAACATTTCGAAATACCTACCACACGTGGTTCTCCGCATTTGTTCTCGCACGTACCACACTCCATCCAAACTTCATTCGTTTTGCCTGTAACGCAAACTTTACTGGAACCGTATTTCTTTTCAATGAATGTGGCGTATCATTTCTGAACGAAACAAACGAGGTTCTCACAGAAAAGGACCTCTTCAAATACTTGTATTGGAACTATATCGGAGCACTTATTAGTTACATTTGAGTCTGTTTTAGAATCAATGGAACAGTTAACCAATCTCTGGCAACTTGTTTCTGAGGAACTGAAATGTCCAGACAATGACGCACCCCTTGCATATCACTCTACAGTTCTAAAACAATTTTAAACTGTTCCATTGATTCTAAAACAGGCTCAAAGGGAACTGTGCATCTCTAGAAAACACCAAGACTACAGTTATTGGGCTGCAATGCCGATATTCACTTAGTAGAGTGAGTTTTTAAGTGTTTGATATAGTCGACGAAAAAAATGAACTGGAAGAAAAGGTTCAAAGAAAAGGGGTGAAGACTATTAAATAGCATTACAAATGATCTGAGTACAATGACCGTTGGTTGCATAGGGAAGTCATCCGAGAATTGTAGATGTTTCTATGCTTGGCAGCAGAACTGCTAGGTCCCATGAAATTGGGTAAGAATGAGGAGCGTAATTTACTTGAACAACCCTTATTGTGCTTGACGGAGTAAAATATGACTTCTTTCTTAGTGTGCTAACTAGGCCTATACAAGTTTTTCGTGAAAACCACTTCTGGTGTAAAACAAAAATAATCGAGCACAAGCTCAAAAAAGTGGATTTGTAAAGGGCAAAAAAGTAGATCTCAGTCAACTGATTGCACAGCGCAATCCTAAATGCCGCCTTTTAAGTATGGTAACAAGTAATAACTGTCAAAGTGCTTACATGAATGAGTCTCCACAGTCTCTGTTATCACAGCAGTATTGTCGTCGTATGTCTCATCAGCGCAATAGCTTACTGAGAAGACCATGAGAGAGACCTTAATAAACGTTTTATGATCAATAAGGAATAAAGGACGATGGCTTCCGGCGTTAGTCAATTCCGTACGAAGGATGCGCTCACTCGACTCCCATCTAGAATCGTAGGGCGTGCTGAACGCTTTTATGGCCTATACAATGGCTCGCGGTGGCAGCCAACGCAACAGTCAGTGGTTTTATTCTCTCAGACGAGCCCGGTGCTTATCCAACACCAATGAAAGGCTTGGGCAGCCTAGGCGGATATCGATCCAGGACTCGAACCTGTGACCATGCGTGTGTGACAATGCGCCTCTTGCCACTTCCGCCCTTATCAGTATAAATAAAAAGAATAAGCTCAAATGCTCAAAAACTATGTTCCAAGGACCCGCGTGGTAACCCGTACTGCTTCTGTTCAGACGAGCAACTGTATTTTCAGGAACTCCGATGCCCATGAGTGAGTAGGAAAGAATAAACCAAAATCAATTAGTGTAACTTTATCGATCGATTACTAAGTGAAGGAGTTGTGCAAAAGAGTTTTTGGTCGGCGCATTCAATATGCTTTCAAGGTCATTAGCGTTCTAATAACGAGAAGAAATGCTATATAGGCCAACTTGAGTCCTCAGAATGGATTGGTTCCGAAAACGAAAAAGACTGATCAATAAATGGAATTTAATGAACTGACCACGGTAAGTAATAGGGTCCTCATTGTGTTGATGTAGAGGACTTTTGTTCTATAGTGTGAGTTTAAATAGGAGAACTGTCGAAGGACGGGCGTGGCAATACGTACGACGACAGCAAGTGAGCTGGTTCTCTTGAACGCGCACCCCACACGAACTGGGCGGAAAGTGCTTGTTATTACCGTAACGTCAAGAACGACCTTGATCTATAAGGTTGTTTGCTTGTTGTAAATCACCGCCGTAGAGTTGTATACCAACATAACCGCATAACCTGTGAATGTTGTGTTTATAGATGGGCGTTCAGCAGAGGGAATCGGTGAGTGAGCCACAAGTTTGACGGTCNCCACACGAACTGGGCGGAAAGTGCTTGTTATTACCGTAACGTCAAGAACGACCTTGATCTATAAGGTTGTTTGCTTGTTGTAAATCATCGCCATCGAGTTGTATACCAACATAACTGCATAACCTGTGAGAATGTTGTGTTTATAGATGGGCGTTCAGCAGAGGGAATCGGTGAGTGAGCCACAAGTTTGACGGTCACCCAGTGTTTCGTGACCCTTGTTACATAAAGGGTAGAGGATAAAATTTTGGTTCATTAGTCAATCCCGTCTGAGGAATGCGCCCCGCATTCGATTCCAACTCAGAATCGCAGCGGCGTATTAAATGCATATGTGGACTATACAAAGAGTTGCGGTGGCCAACCGATGTACTAGTCAGTGCTTTTATCCTCCCAGTGGTACCATTTGACCGATTCCGGAGGGATAGAAGGCTTTGTTGGGCTAGCCGGATATCGATCCGGAATTCGAACGCGTGACCGTTAGTGTGTGAAAGTGCGCCGCTTGCCACTACACCTTCTCCGCCCGATCTGTCTTCTGTAACCCCATGAACTTATGTTTGAAGGGCATTCAATCTTAAGTAGGCAAGCCTTCAGAATTTGAACTACAGTATCGGTTCGAACCGTTGAAGTTCGAAGTTTTGAAAAACTATAAGCATTTCGCCATCTAAAGAGGAAAGATATTGGGGTTTTTTTTTCTAAAACCCATTCGGGCCACTGCTAACTGTTGATAATACTCGTTGCAATTCTCCAGTACAAATCCAAAACCCTGTTTTACGATCCCTAAAAGAAAAAAAAAACTCGATAGAGCGGCATTCAGGCCTGGATGTCACGTTGAAGTGGATCGAATTTGAAGCAAAGTTTCCAGAAAATTAGAAGGAATGGCCATAGAGCTGCTTCATTGAGGAAACAGATCTTGCCACATTTTATGAGCTCGGAAATTAGATTCTTGAAGGGTGAGAGAGGAAGGGGGAGTGAGGGAAGGACTTGAGGGAGGGTGAAGTGATGTAACGAAAAGCATCAATGCTGATGAACAAGTAAGTTAGGATTGTGTATGGACTCGACACCTGAATAAGTAGTAATACTAGTAAAAACAGACGAATTTTGAAAGCTTTCTGGTCAAACCTCCCTAACTCCAGTTGGAGTTCCCTCCACCACTTCGTGGACTATGTGGGAACTTTACAATTTGCGTGAGTCATTGTCAGAACAAGTCAGATTTTGATATCCCGTGAACCTGTGGTACAGAAACCCCCTTATGCCCCATCCACCACCCTTTACCGTAGGCCTCACCCAGAGTACCTTTTTGTTGTGTGTTGGGTTGCTGTGTAACACATCCACGAGAATTTGAAATCCTAGATCCTGTCTAAGTTACCAAACTCCTTATCCGAAGTCGGGTATTTGCTGTTAAACTCATCTCGTAGTGGAAAACACAACTCATCTCCCACTAGTTATGCATAATTTACAACCCCATCTAATTACTACCACAATTCTCAGTGGAGGTCGTATGCGTGGCTCATAACAGCCAAAGTTAATTGCCATTTCCCAAGGGCTTCCCTGAGGCTTTCGTGCTGAGATTCGGTTTTCATGGCTGTTACAGCACATGCTCAGTCCACAATTATCCATCGTCGTGGTAACGGAAATAATTCAGAAGCGTTTATGTTGGGAAAATCAGTGTTTCCGACACGTAGATGTTATTATCATGACAATTGAGGATAGAGCAAAGGCTAAGCAGAGAATGGGTACTAAACCTCCAGGTGCTGTGGTCCTAAGCCATTGGTGACAGGATTGGTATAGCAGGAGGCGCTCCCATGGAAGGGCTAGAAATCCTTATAAAGTAAGAAGCTCTAGGTTGTTAGCTCCGGCTTATTTCCGCACTGCCGCCCAGTCGAGGTCTCTTTGAAAAGTGGGCAGTTGGAGGAAAGGCTTGTATTTGGGCACTTTGGAGCGTAGTTTACGGTGCCGTAAAGCTGACGAAGGGACTCCGCCCGAATCCATGTCTCAACCTGTCAATCTGCCCCTGTTACCGTACTATTTATGGCGTCATTCTATGCGCATTCCTGCAGCTAATGCGGTGAACACTTGTACTTACGCCATATTTTGCAAAGTTGTTTTCCTTAAGTTTTCATCTCATTTGCTTTTTTTCCAATTTTGCCCTATTTCTTATGAATGTCTGTAAATTCCAATAAAAAATAGTTTCCTTATCTTCATGACGGCATATTTACAATTTTTTCTGGATGTTCAGCTTTGCTCAGCTCGTCAACTATGCTTACTCAGCCGACATAATTGCTATTTAAGACGAGAAGCGGTATGTGACGTCGGAAAAGCTTCTTGTCAAGCACATCTTGACCTGATGGTGACACTTCTCGCGTCTAGTCCAATCCGATCTCAATAAAGGTTTGTTTGAGTTTTTGTTGTTATGATTTTTTCCTGCCCGTAAGTGCATCTTCCTATCGGCCTCTTTGGTATCATTCGGGATCATCGTTATGACTAAGAAAGTGACGGAGTTTGGCTTCGATAGACGTACTCATTTGAGTGGTAACATCTCTCTCGCGGGGTACATTGGGTGGAGAGTTGCTGCCATTATCGTCAATGCTGTGTCGATTTGTTGGTTCATCTCGAAGGCAGTCCTCATCATTGTTTTTGATATATTTTCTCATCTAATATCGTGATCACTACCATGGGACCCGGAAATTGTTGTTTTTGTAATAGCCCATCGTATACGGAGAGAATGAGCAAGTAAGAATGATGTGTTACTGGCTTGCTGCCATTCCTTGGAGGGAAGACTCTGCGAGCGAAGCGATAGAGCCAGATCGCACGCTATATTAGATTGCAGATTCCGTAGATTTAATATTACGTTACCAAGCAATCTAACCGTGAGAGATCTAGCTCAATTCTTTTGCAGCGATCTCTTGAGCCTGCCATGGACTGGTCGGCGCCGGAGGTGAATGCGCGTCCTTTCAGCTCATTTTTTGCGCATGGTAACTTTTTTTTTTCTAAAACTAAACAATTCTTTTTTTACGATTCCACCGATCGAATTGTTTCATTCTAACAGATTCAGTTCCACCTACTTCCTGAAACGTAAATAAATCTCTGTAATAAATTGGTGTACTTCCTCATTTTTACATCGCCTTCAAAAATTTGATGACTTATTTTTTGACCACATCTTGTCAGAGGCTAACAGTATCTAAAGAGATTTTGCTCCATTTTCCCTTAAAACTCTTTAAGGCAAACGTTAGCTGCATTTCTCGTTTTTGTGCTCCATCCTATTCTGCTCTTTTATGCTATCGCTCCGTATTCAGTGCTGAGAATACGTCGAAGTTTGCACATGTGCTGGCCTTTATCAGCATGGTAACGCATTCGTTGCTACGCCTATCAGTGACGTTTCTTCCGTCTGATCTTTGAACTGTGCACTGACAATGCAGGCAAATATCGCTGAGCTCCACCCCTTTGAAGGTGAGGATTGCAGCGATTCTGAGCACAGCTGTGGTCGATTGTGTTTACATTGAAATCGTCAAACTTTGATTTCTTTTCGAATCATTGGAGAAGCTTCCATACCAATCTTCCATAGCAGGAACTAGCTGATATCTTCACAGCCGTTCCGATTCCTTCATGATTCCTTTGATCATTGTAAAACTGGGAGAGCTTTTATTGGTTTCCTTTTTCAGTTAGGGCGCCGGAATTGCTCTTCATCATAGCTTTTAGAAAACTTAAACAAAGAGCGTTTGCTTTACTTACTGTTGAATCTCTTTATCAAGGGTCCACAGAAGGCGGCTTGAAATCATCGCAAATCAGAATTATCAGAATTTTCCAATCTCCGAACCTAATCTTCTCGCCAATCATCTTCGATCTGCTCATCGAAATCTTTTTTACTTTTCATTCTACAATCTTCAAATAAAAGACCGCCCTGGCAAGGGTTAATGGGCTTTACGTTTGACTGGAGCAGGAAAAGTAGCTCTCTACCCTCCTGTTTTCTGAGTAGAGCAAAAAAGGATCACGGTGATGCTCCTCTGAAGTAAGGTAACGGGGTGAAATACCTGAATTGTCGTATGCTACTCTCCCTCGGCATAATCGTTGTAGTTCTTTCAACTTGAACTTACCCTCAAGCGTTATTGTGTGAAAAAATGCATGGCGTGGAGAAGGGGAAGTGGAGCACGAAAGGACCACCCCTATTTTCACCTTCTTCCCCCTCTCCCTCCTTCTTCAGCACGCTCCTCGGTCAGTCTGCCTTCACTGCTTGGCATTATTTCTTTCTTGTCACCCTTTACGACCCTTTATTTATTCTCACGAGGTTTTTGAATGAAATTTGTTGTGTGGCTGTCACTATGGAAGCTTCGCTGCTACCTTTCATATTCACTAGATTATGTTATACTCAGTTGCCCTTGTTTCGTTCCCTCTTTAGAAAATTCTTTTGCTTCCTACCCAGGGTGGGCTACAGTAACGGTGGTATGATTTCACAATAAGTTCAAATTCATACAAGCAGTAAATAATTTCGTGCAGATGCATTCTCCGATCGAAATCACCTCTAATGACAAGGTGTTCGTGGGAATGTAATAGGCGACGATAATTTGTAGTAAACATAGCAACGATATCAAAGGCCCGGAATAATATTCTGTTGAATAATGTTGACGCTTTTAACTGAGCTTTTAATTTGCGACTCTTATTTTTAGAATTTAATCTCTCTACCGTAATTTCATTTTTACAGAATAGCCAGGATGACATGCTCTGTAGTAGTTGACGGCAGCGGAAGTACAACACGTCTTCGATCACCGGAACGAAATCATTGCTTTAAACGTCGAGCTAGAAACAGTATAGCTAGAGATTTCGGGTGAGTACACTCCTACTTGCTCGTAGTTGTTTTACAATATAGACTTCTGACAAAGGCATCTGAAAAAAATCTTGAAAGGAGTACGGCAGTCGAATCGAGTCAATTTTTGGCTTGATTTCATTGTGATTGGATTTGGAGGCGAGAAATATGGATTTACATTGAAAAGTGAGGGAAAATTTGGAATAAGTTCATTGAAGATTAGTTTATCATTTTTGATTACTGATTTCATATGTTGGGTCAGTGAATGGGAAAAGTGTGGCGGGTTAACAGTATTTGGAGCTGTTTCGTATCGAAATGGAATATTTGTCCAGCTTGGTGCCTAATGGATTCCACGGGAATCAATTTGAACGGATGGAACTGTGTCGATCCCATCCGTGTTTACAGTGGATATTTCACAACATTGAGCTATGAGAGGCGATCGGAAGATCGGGAATTCCGAGGAAAGATATGGTGGTGGGAAGTAGGAAGGGTGAGAGAGGGTGAGTGGTTGGGGTGGGATTGGGGGGGGGGGGGGGGGGGGGGGGGGGGGGAGAGAGGTTAAAAGCTGAAGTTAGCTTTTATATGAGGTGGCTGAATGGAAACTAACTGGCACCCTCCTGGGATTTATGCGAAGTTTTGATTCCCTTGGGTGCAAATGTAGAGATATGTTTGGGAAAGAAAGCCTTCATTGCCGTGTCGTTAGCTGTATAAAGCGGTAATAATCACAAGAGAATAAAATGCTAAAAGATCGAAATACTATTATAGAGGCACAAAACGCTTGATGTTTTCATGATGTAGAGTTTTCAGAAGGTACGAACTAATAGTTTTGGCAATAACTCAGTTGAGCTACATTCCTATAACGAATACTATGTTGTCTACGGCATTTTATGAGCCTACAGAGGTTGGATTTTCGATTCTAGGGTTGTCCAACACACACACTCAGGGTGAAAGTAAAGCACAGATGGATCTATTTTCAGTCTACGTGTGCATTTCTTAATGGTACGGGTGATGCAACAACAGATTCGGAAATTTTTTCGGAGGTCTGTCTTTAAATTAATTCAGATTCGTACCATACCATGTCCATATTTTCGAGTTGCCGTTTTCACTTTTACTCGTCGGACTTCTCCGTAGATGTTGAAGAGGCCCATGGGAATGGGAGTATTATTTAATTGTGAATGTAGGTAATCACGTTGTTCAAAGCAAAAGCTCGCAGGGAAAGGAAATTTCATTCTGAAGTTAATCTAACTTCGAAATTCTTTGATTTTTACTTGTTAAGCTAATATTAAACTTCAACCATAAATTGTATCATAACCCGGTGACGGCTACATAACTCACAGCATGCTTCTGTCGGTTACTTTATTGCTTCCCATTTCATTATCCTTGTAAGGCCACACATGTAGCCAAGAACATCGCCGGTGACATACACGGCGATTGTGTGTGGTTACATTGTGATTAACCTGTTCTTAAAAAAGGCTAACTATGTGTATGCTTGTGAATATCGTTAAATTCAATATTTCAGATGATTAACATTGACTTCCATTCTCTATTAATGGACTGGGGTGAGGCATGTCAGCAATCAGCATTGACAGCTTTCATGTCCACAAGTCTAATGGCTGGAGCACTGACGGGCTCTTTCACGGCTGGATGGCTTGCGGATACATATGGAAGACTGCCGGTATTGAAAGGTAGAGAAAATTCAAATGACTGCAAAGTCGTTGAGAAATCGAACAACACTTCAGATCCAGACAAAGGCTCTGATTATTTACAGGTTGTCTGTTACTCGTCTGCATTATTAATGGTGTTTTTTCAATTGTCGCTACCGTATCGTGGGTAATGTCAGCTGCATTCATGTTTACACTCGGTGCAGGATGTGGTGGATATATGGTGAATAAATAAAAGCTGTTAGAAATAGATCAAATTATAGCATTAGCGGGACAAATCTACCAGGGGAAACTATACTTTCACGTGAGACCACCCAAAATGGCAAAATCATGATCTAAATGGAAACATCTAAACTGGTATTTGACCTTAGCAAGCTCAGCACACTTTTTTTGAGTGGATTGTCGAGCCCTCCTAATCATTAAGACATGGGCGGTTCGTGCTATTGACATATTGACAGTTATCTAGTTTCGGATTATTCCAATTTATGGCTGTTCAGGTGACCAATCTCGTCTTACTTGTGGAAAGTCTCGATCATCCTGGCTCACGACTTCTAGGAGTTTCACTTAACGGATGGAGTTTCTCAATGGTAACTATTTTGAATGAACAAAAGGTCTTACATCGACAATTTTATTCGAATTCTACCCATAAGCATCCTAATCCTCGAGTAAAAGAAAGGATGTCTTCATGAGAACAAAAGTGTGATCTCCGGGGATCAATTTGTATAGATATATCAGACATTTATTCGAGTGATCATAGTGAGAAATTATTATAATCAAGAAAGATCGGTCTAATATGAAAAAGTGCCTATAACATAATTATGCGATTTTGTTTTCAGATTTTCGTTGCCTTGCTTGCTCGATTTACTAGGCACTGGTTTCTTTTCCATCTTCTCACATCAGCAATGGCTTTGGTGGCATTTATGGCTTTTGTAAGTCAATTTATTTCGTTTTTATAAGCATATATTACGGAAGATGCTAAACAAGAATGTTCATTTACTGTCAAGTGTGATTTATCATTTCAATGATGAGTGAGTAAAATGGAGGCTCAGCGTCTCATCGTGTCCCTTTCAGCAAATCTGGGTTGTTGAAAGCTGCCGTTGGTTAGCTAGTGTACATCGCAATACAGAGGCTCATTCGGTGGCAATTCGAGTGGTGTCTAGTGACCCTGAAGTCGCGGATTCAATAAAAGGTTTGTTGAAGCCGTTTTCCCTTCTAGTGTCAGTCGAGTGAATCGTTGGTTCAGATTGGCAGTGGTGGGAAATACTAGGTTTCTCAGAACCAGCTATATCTTCAGCGAGCGCGAAAGTGCTATCAAGAAAGTATACATATGCGGATCTTTTCAGGTGAGAAATTGGAGACTGCTTCAGTTTTTAGTGCTTCTTTTTTCTGAATTTCTGGCTATGACGTTTTAAACTAGTGTTACTGAATAAACGACGACAGTGCGAAGCAGTTTATTTTTGTCATTCATATTATAATTTTAGCAGTTATTATGAGTAAAATATTGCACAGAATCTTGCAATTGGTCACAAGACTGTCGAGTTTAAATCTAGTATTTTTCAGTCACTCTTCGGTGTACATTCCACTTTTTGCTCTTTGTTACTGTTTCGTCTCCTCTTCAGTGGTATCATTTGGGTTCGTTTGTCTCTGTTTTCTTTGATTCATGTCCGAATAGAGTATTTAGTTTGCCGAAATTCATGCCCACCACCGCCACTTTGAATTTTGAACTCAGTTTATCATTCAATGTAACGCAGCAATGAAAATGTTGCGTTGTGTTCATGCATGGCAATTCTTAGATAGTTGTCTCACTGCCCATTCTTTTATTTGATTACATTACTTAGTCATCTTGCGCTGCATGCCGTTCGAGTGGAATGCCTTCTATCATTTTCAATGCGGTCTCAATGGCCAGTCAAATTTTCTATCTATTTGGCTTGTCAGCCTAGTCATGTCCATGAGAAGGTCTCGGTTATAAGGGTGAACACAACTTGGTAAAAGGTAGCCCTGTGAGCTCGTTCTATTTCCTAGAAAAAATCTAATAGTCGATTGGCTCTAAATCGATTCATTTTACTTTCATTGTTTTTTTTTTCAGATTTTATTTCAATGCCGATGCCTTACCAGGAAATCGCTATGTGAATATGGCTATTATGGGTTTTTCAAAGTTTGTTATGGGTAAGTGGGAATCGTTCTGGTTCTGTCGAAGCATTCACAGCTAATGTGTTCAAGGTTTGATACCGTTTGCTGTATCGCCTCTTGTTGGTCGACGTCCTATTGTGTCTATCTCTGTTGGTGTAGCCTGCCTTTGTGCATGGTTAACGGTTATAAGGTAAGTGAACAGTCAGGTGTTTTTACCCATAATTAATTACTGTTGCTGTTTGTTGGAGTCAGTCGTATGGAGTTTCTGCTGGTCACTGGTCGTTGGTTGCATTTTCCTTGATCGTCTCGGCAGCACTAGATCCTGCTTGGAAGATTAATCATCTTTACTCGGCAGAACTGTTTCCTACTGTAGTCAGGAATATGGCTCGAGCTGTTTGTAATGTCGGCGCTAGGCTAGGATCCGTTCTCGCACCGATGGTAAGTGTGTTTATCATATTCTCCGCTTGCTCTGTTGCATTTGTCGAACCTGCACGACCAGGACACGTTTTTCCCGGGGTCTTAACAAAATCTTTACTTTCCATTCTTCTTCCCATATTGCTTTTGAACGGGCCCAAAATTTATCATTCATAAAGGGATCAATGTAAATGCATGAAGGGCAGAGGCAGATTGAGACAGACACGCGTGCTACCGCGTTGCGGCCACGCCGAACTGTCACTGTCGCCATTATGCCGGCTTGACCGTTTATCGTTATGTGTCAGATTGAATTGACTGAATCCCAACCATGTTTGCTTAGGTTATTGTAATACTTGCTCTATATATCAAGAGTCTAGAACTTGCCTACATGGAAGAATTTCAGGTCGTTCATTTACGTACGGTGCACTACTTGATACCGTACCTGGCGTTTGCTGTATTCCTCACAGTACAGCTTGTCGTGGTAGTTGTTTGTATTCCGGAGACGAAGGATCGGCCACTTCCAGAGGAGCTGCCCCCGAAACGATCTGGTAGTCGTGATCAGCAAATGGTCGAGTTGAATCCTGCTACGGCCGGCTCACAGATTCATGAACCTACATAGTTTTCCTTGTTCTTATATCGTGACAGCGCATCTAATCATTTTATAGGAGATTTGGAATTTGTTGGCACAGTTGTTCCTTCGGCGAATTTCTTACTCCCTGTCTTACAAAGGGAACCTGCGGTCTCTTTGATCAGGGGTTAGTGACCGGTGACATAAACAAAAACATTACTGCTTTATCTATGGGTATTTTGGATTTCCAGGATTGCTATCTCTCAATCAGCATAATTAGTTCCTAGTGTTTTCTTGTTGCTGTGGTATATTGCAGTGGTACTGTTAAGTGAATTATGGTGATAACCATTCCTGCATGTAGTGCAATCGGTGATAATTGCCTTTCTAGTCGTCTTTGTTTACTCGTTTCCTGTTGAATAACTGAAATAGTTGGTTCCGATGTTGCTAAATAAAAATCCTTCTCGTTACGTGTTGAACTCCAATTTTAGAGTTATCTGGCATTTCCAATTACTGGCGGAGGTGGTTTACCCTTCCACGATCGTGATGGTAAGTAATCGAAGTGGTGTCAAGCTATGGTCAACTCGCATCCAGCGTCAACACCGACCGCTTCCTTCAAACTGCATCGGCGTAGTGACTCGCTATGTTTTTGAGAAAGAAAGCTCATCAACGAAACCAAGCATGCCCAGGCGGCTGAGGAGTACAGTCAAGACGGGTGCACGAAAAGTTGAAGTGCTGTGGTGGTAGTGGTGAGGGCTTAGGTTGCGTTATATAACAAGGATGTGCCGATAGGAAACGTATTTGCAGCTCTTCATGCAAATGCTCAGCGTTGATCGATCATATACTGGGATGGGGTCTGCCACCCATTTTCCATTCAGAATTGTAGTAATATAACCACCTTTGCAACTCTCCCTGGTGATAGGTACTGGCAACGAATCTCTACCTCTTACAGGAGTATGCACTCGGCGTTGTTCGTTGTGCTGGGATACAGAGCCACTCACTGAGAGAGCTCTGAGCCTACTATTTGCCTTTGATTCAATAGTTAGTGATTCGGAGTGATCAATTCCCAGTACCGGTTCCCCCCTAACACTTTGGCGATCCACTTGCCGCAACCCCGTATGAGCCCTCTTTTCTAATAAATGCTATAATTATGTTAATGTACGACGACCTCTAGTGGGCAACAATGGAAAGCACCTGGATTTTACTGGAAATTACCGTGATTGACAACTTCTTTAGCTACTTTCCGATTGCCAGAGTTAGCACGCCTATCTCAGAATTACTATCTACTCGGCCGAATGTCCATGGCGACGGCCACAAATCAATAGCTGATCGGTTTTGAAGGTTGTGACAGAGAATAGCGTCAACAACTACAGCGACAGCTAGTTTTTCGAACTTTTCGTAGTCCACTTGGAAGCTTTTCAGCTGTTCAATGTTGATTACCGTATCCATCTGCTTCTCTAGATTATGCTCTTATGCCATTCTGATTCTTCGTTGTTCATTTTGCTTTCCATTATGATCCATTGCTTTTAGAACTTGGAAATATGGGCCTTCAAATCAAACAACTGTTTCTTTATGGAGTAATGTGAGTCAGTAAGGTATACTACAGTAAAGGATTGTTTATTTCCTACCGTGGATAGATAAAGTTTAAATATCATCAGTCACTCATCAATGACTGATTTTTCAACTATTTTACATCGAAAAGTAACAATATTTACAATATTCCAAGTTCCATGACTGTAACTATGCTGAGGATCTCGAACTAGAACTCATTATATTGGTTTGGTTAAAAAATTCCTTTCAACTCCGAACTTTTCCCTAGTTTTCACGTTCATGGCGCATCCTAAAAAACTCTTTGGGAGACTTTTGTTCTTCCATATACCGATATAAAGTGCATTTTCTATTGGGTTTGTTAATTCTCCGGAAATAGTGGGGATGTTCATAAATCCGAGCTCTTTCACTATTCTGAGAACTTAAGGTCAGAAAGGGTTTAGGTTGGTGATCGTGATGGTCCAACGTTCGTGGCGAAATCGTATGACTTGTGATTCAGATGATAAGACCTGTGTATGAATAAGGCTGCGATCTTTGACCAGTGGTGAAGTCGGAACGGGTTACTGGAGGACAGAAAAATCTGCCAAAGTGGATGGATGGACAGATGCTCCAGGTTTTCCTCCACTTCTTCGACGTTCCTAATTGGTAAGAGCTACCCAAGCCGTTTTATTCATATCACACATTGGTGACTAGGATTTTCACCAGTGTCTGGTTTACAACCTTCTCAATGGTATATGAATAAGATATACATGCAGCTACCATCCAAAGGGATTCTATGGAACGCTAGGAGACTAGTGACTACGTAAAAGAGCCAGAATCTTAGCCAACCGTCTCCTTTCCTTAAAAATATCCGAGTAAACGACAGACGTCCCATGAAGCTCAGTCCATTCCTATCTTATGTGGGCCGTATTAGTACTGAAATCGAGGACGATTAGGAAGAGACTATTTGCCATAGTTATAACGAGTCATTTATTTTTCCATATCCCGAACGGGACCACTGTTATATAACAATCGATTTCTTGTATTTTCTCTAAAACATTTGTCATTTTTGTTTTCCTTTTGTTTTAGCTATTTTTTATTTTATTTCTATTTTTATTCTTGATTCTTCTAAATATTGATAATTGTTGTTGCTCCGGAACTTTCGCTGTTTCAGAGGACTTTTGGTGTCCTGGGCTGCGTTGCTGTATCGATACAGCGATCCAAAGGCTCGAACAGCTCAGATCTATGAGTGAGTTCGACTTGAACATTTTTTTTTCTTTATTTGTTATTTTTACCACCTCAGAAACTCCTTAGGCTTCTCGTGTTCACACTTACCTAATTTACCCATTCTATTTTACTGATTTGCTGATTTGGCTCTTGGGGTAGGCGTAACATCTTGCCACCATGTAACTTGAGCGAATATAACTGATATTTTGAGGAGGGTACAGTAATCCGTTCGAATTCCAGGCTCCCACCACGTCCCAAACTCGTAGGACCATTAGCTGTAAATGATAAGCTACAAAATGTGGAATACATTTTGAAAGGAGAAGTTGATGGACCGGAATCGCTAGTTATCGAAGGAGGTATAGGTTTTCTGTTATAACCTGAAATTGTGATATTTGTGGATGTCGAGTCGCAGGTAAAAGTTCATAACCCGAGTAAGGTAGGCACGAATGAGGGGGGGGGGGCATATGTATACACTGAAGATGAATAATGATCGCAGGCGATTCTGGACTTGCTCTTAATTCTGTAGCATCCGTACTGCATCGTTATTTGATCTTTTGCTGATTAACATAAACGGAGGTTGACCTTCCTATATGTTCAGATTCCATCTACACTGGTTTGTATGATGGACGAGTTGTCCATATTAAAAGTGGCAGAATCGTCAAAGAAGTCCGCTTTACAATACATCGGAAATGTGGTTTGTTTCATTGCCTTGCCATGATTGCCTTTCCCGAAGGAGAGCTTTTTCCTTCCCAAAGTGAGCTGCAGAGTTCATATTCCAAAGGTAGTTAACGCTATTCATATCGTATCTCTGAAGCGTCAGAGGTATGAGTAAGGAGGCGTAGCCATTTAAAGGAATATAGGCGCAGTAAAACTGGGCCGTGCCAGGGCGGCTCCTCCTGACCCGCCCATAGCCGTGCTTTGGGCTCCTATTTCCCTTCACACGAATATTTGAGGCGAATTACGGACAGTTGACAACAAAAATCAGAGTGGTTCGGGTCTCTTCTCACGCAAATATACCGCACGTGGGAAGCATTGCACGCAAATCCTACTGGAAACACCCTGCAGCTTGATCTTTCCTGCTTTGCACTTGAAAAATACGCTCAACAATCTTTTTTCTAGGCACCTTTGATACTGAGCCCATTTGCGGACGTCCTCTTGGCATCCGTCGCCTCAATGACAAGGAATTCGTGGTCGCGGATGCGTACCTCGGAATTTTCTTGGTTGATATGAAAGCTGGTACGTTTCGATAAATCGAAGTCGCAATGATTAAAGGCACAGTTCACGATAAAAATGGTTTTTGAGATTTCCATATAGTATGAATTCGAGGCTCCCCCTTATACCATATCTGTCGTTATAAAGGCGAAAAACGTCCCGGATAGGGCACGACAAGGAACCACAGATTGTATCATGTGAGAGTCACACCCATAGTGGACGAGCTTCAACGGCTTTGTAGAGGTCATCCTAAGAGACTCCCATGTAGGAAGTTCAAACAACTTGCCATCACCCAAAACGACAGAGAAAGGCAATTTTGGACTATTATGGTTTTATGTAGTCAGCTCTTTGCACGACGGGAGCAAGTTGAATCTCGTCCAAAAATCCCTTACATACCATTCCTGTCGCGGTGATCTCGTACACCCTCTACTTCCATTACTTTTGAAAAACTTGAAGTAGAAAAATTCTCTCACCTTCTTCGCCACCGATGTACTCCTCTACATCAGCACCTCCGCTTTTTAACCCAAAGAAGGCCCCTCAAAATTAATGTGAACCGTGCCTTTAAAAACGTGAAATGAAAGAACTAGTTGAGCAAGGCTGTTTCATGAGTGCTATATGAAGGCAAAACATTCGAAATCGGATGGATCTTGAATCCTCACCCAAGCTTTGAGGTCACTTTGCTTAGATCATGTTGGGATGCCCAATCCTTTACACGAAACTCGATCTCGCTTCCCTTAGTTTTTCAGGTCTCTAGCCTATCAAAATTGTTTTGTTAACTGTTAACAACCGGTAGTTTGAAATCAACGATAGGATGGGCGTGCACCGACCGCAATGGATATCGAAAGCATNCGCATCCTAGTAGACATTCCAAGCACTCTACTTCTTTTTTAGGTACATTCCGACAAATTGTCAATAGCAATGTACCAATTCAGGGGCGATATATGCGATTTTTAAACGATGTAGAGGTATGTTTATACTTCTATAGCTGAGGTATTCGACAAAATGTAGGTAACGATTTGAAACGAAGATTTGAGTAAGCTACAAAGGCATGATTCAGGTTTTAAACGAAGATGAGATAGTGTTCACGGACAGTTCATCAAAGTGGGATCGACGGCATGTGGTTCATATCATTATTGGGCATGAATCACTTGGCAGGTAATCTCAATAGCACGAAACTCGCAACTTGCCTATTAGGACTCCATTGTAGTAAATGCTCTAATAATATTCTATGAGAGCAGGAGATATCTTTCAAAAGCGTGACGTCAATTACATTCGAGCGCGCGTACGTGACGCGTGCGTGATGACGTCACTGTGTTGCTGCGCGTAATAGAATGCGTCGTGGCAGACGTTACGGAAGCCCGGGTATGTTGCGATTCGCGCGATTCTGAGCGCGCGCGACAATTTGCGCGGCGAAATTCGGTGCGATTTGGACGACTGCAACGTTTATCATTTAGACCCAAATTTGAAGTAAAGTAGGTTGGTAGGATTGTCCGACCCTACTAAAGTACTCTACTTCAAGTTTGCGCCCCAATGGTAGGCCTCAGAGTTGTTTGAATCATCGCGAATTTCGCCGCGCAGTTTGCCGCGCACCTAGAATCGCACGAATCGCTCGTCCCCCCGGAAATCCAGTGGCGGTGAACTCAATGGTTCTTGACCCATCGTGGATTCTTATTTCCAAATCAGTAGTGTGATCCAATCATTATGCAAATCGCGCTAAGCATGCGACGTTGCCCCACTTCCCGTGCTACTGATAAGGGAAGTACGTCCAGGAGTTAAATAGCCGCGGTCGCGTACCAATCGATCGGCGCTATGACGTCAGACCCACGCGCCGCTTACGCTCGTTGGCACTTCCCCATTCATCCTTACTTTTGAAACGAGGCCAAAATAGTAGCTTGGGAACGAAATACGTTCTTCGGACTTTAAGTTTGTTAAAAATTGTAAAATTAAAAAAATTTAGAATTTAAGATTCAAAAACTTTAGATTTTTGTTTCAAATCAGCAGAGATCTCAGCAAATGGATATAGTATCGGTAGTTATTGAGAACCGTAGGTTTTTGACAGACAACCGTAACAGTCTACAAGTGGATCCCAGTTCAGAACAAAAAAGAGCCATGCATGATTTAAATACGTGGGAACTGTCCGAACTTCTATAATTTTGCTTTCAAAAATGCATGAAACAGCCATATTCGATCAACGTGTTTTTTTTATTTCAAAAGTTGCAGAATTTTCAAACACAAGATCTCAACCGGGGAAACAACCGTTCTGGCTGATGGCCTTCATCTTCCTAATGGAATTCAGGTAGGCCGAATATTGTAAAAACTAAATGGGTGTTTTTGGACTTCTGAGGGACCAACCTCACATGTGTAGAACATTTGCGAAAGCGGTCACCTCCAACGAGTAAGGAGGTAGTGCAAAATACATTCGTCTGTTTTATGCAATCAGGATATGTTTCTGAGGAAGACACTTGACTACAGGTCTTTCTCTTTAACCGGCTCCATAAATCCTTTTTGTGGGTGTTGATATAAATGATTAGAACTCTTTAGAAAGGCGTTGCACCGCACGCCAAGCCAAATCTACAGCATCGCGACCGCGCGCTTAGCCAATCCAACCGCGTCGCGACCGCACGCTTACTGCTATATGGGGAAATATCTTTTTGTCTGTTTGCAGGCATTTGACAGTGATAGCAGCATGTCGAATGACTAATTGTTATAACAAAGGCACACATAGAAGCCAGACTTCTATTGCCATAATCTTCTTTTGTTTCAGTTGCATCCGGATGGGAAATCGCTCCTGTTTGCTGAATGCAATATGGCAAGGATAGATCGGTGAGTACTGTAAATGGAAGCTGCTCAATAGAAGCAGTAGTATCTCTACCACTTTTAATCACGAAAATTGTAGCCTGACTGCCAAAGGTTCGGTTTTTTGAGAGAACTTGAGCCTACGTCTGTGTTTTCTGGGCATCGTTCTCATCCATTGTACCTCAAAGTCTTTAGTGATCATTCTACACCACATGGTATTGTATGCTGCAATCATTCGGTATACGAAAAAGAACCAAAGACAGCATGTTGGAGCATCCAAAGGGCGTTAAATCAGTGGGCCATCGATACGTGAGGTATTGATTGATGCGGACACCAGGGGTAACACGGCGATTCGCCCATCCGCCTTTGCGAAGTATGGACGAAGTGTAAAAGGAGCTATAGGAAGTCTCTAGATTGTAAACGGCATAGCTCTGTGTACCACCAACATTTCCGAGCATACATACTGAGGGTAAATCAGATGTGCACCATAAACTCCACCCTAGAGTCTTTTTTTCAATTTGTGGAGTGTTTCAAGCCAATCTGGCCTGAATATCACGTTTTTCGCTTCAGTTGTTCTCAAAATGAACATACGTTTCATTCAGATTGGATTTGAGCACCAACAAAGTGACACCATTCGCTAAAAATCTGCCAGGCTTACCCGATAACATCAGACCTGGGTCAGATGACACGCTATGGGTAGGACTGGCTGGTGAGTTCGTACTTGTTATTAGAGGGTCGATGTTTCAATCATTTAACTAACTGGGTCGTTTCTCTATAACTGGCTTAATAGTCGAGAAATTAGATCTTAACTCAAAATCATCTCAGAAAATATGAGGATCCGATTTCAGGCAGAGAGTTTCCAACATTTTCTTGATTATCAAGGCTTTAGGTGTGCGGCATGCTGATGCGCTATCATTGATTGATGCGGGTGGCTCCTATCCGTTGATCCGTCAGATTCTTCTCGATGTACGGTTCACTTTCATTAAGTACATTTCAGAGATCGTGAGAGGGCAGCAACGGCCAGTTTGGAACGCGAATTTCCCTTGTTTGATTGTATTGAGTTCCACCCGCGTCTGTGTTCCTAATGACGCTTGCAGTTTACCGCGTGCGAAAAATTCGCGCTTCAACCTGGCGGTGTACACCCTTGTGACAAGGAACAAGCAGTGGCTTAGTGTGGTCGGGCAACCAGTATGTTTTACAGATAGTACCGCATCATTGGTGGATAAATTACATTCAAATGATGCGACCACCACATGCGATGATTGTTCAATTGAATTCGAATGGTGAAATTATTCAATCGCTGCACGACATCACGGGTACTCATATACAGGATGTGTCTCAGGTGAATTGCCAACTCCATCCGCGTGCGGTCGCGTCGCGCCTTCTCGTTGGTGCATCGCCAGCCGTGATTTCACTCAGGATTTCCATCGATTCCTTTGTAAGACTTACCAATCTTTTTCAGGTATCTCAATCTGGTGACTACCTCTATTTTGGAAGTTTCCATAATAAGTATATTGCTAGACTACATATCGGGAAATGATTTTGCCCTAGCTTTATTCCTTAATAAATAGTTCATTTGATTGTGTTCATACAAAATTGGTAAAATTCGATTTCACACTTTCGCCTTTGGTGCATTTATACTTTAGCAAATTTCCAATTTCGAATTCAATATTCCACCAAGCCAGGCTGTGTGTTAGTAAGTGACAATAACTGACGATCAATTTGTTTTGTAGAGCTCGTTAGAAAAAATGTTACCGTCAATTGTTTATCACTCGTGAACATTACGTTGGCTGAACAGACTGTTTACAAAATAGAGGACGCTGCTGAATTGAAAACAAGTTTTCCTTCTGTTGCTTCACCTATAAATTCAATTTATGGCGAAATATTGAGTGAATTTTCTCTACTACATCTCCGTAGTTATTCGTTGAGTTAGAAGTGAGTTTATCAACCCATCAGCAAAGTCTTAAGCTTAATTAGACCAACAGGTTACTGTGTACCTCTTCCTTTGCTTGACTTTCATGCTTTCTGTCCATAGGTTAGCCCTGGAGCATCATGAGCTTTGGGCTTGACCTGTGGGCAAAACTTGGTCACGAGGTGGAGCATCCTCGGTCACAGTGAGGGATCCCACTGATTTTTTTCTATTTCATTCGACGCCATTTTTATCCGAGCTTCTACAGCCTGGTTTACGCCTGTGTCAATAGCTCAGTACTCTCTCGTAGCCCGAATTGATTTGAAATTGGATCCTTTCGTATTGTACGAGATACGTGCCTTTCTATACTGATGAAAGAGAACAAATGATTTGGATTCAATAAACCTTTAATGACTACTAAGACAGCCGCTGGCCAGTTCTTTCATACTTGCAGCCAGACTAAGTTTTGAATTTCATCTCTATTCACTCTGACTGAAACGCTCCCTCTTCTGTGTGGTCATATTCAGGCCCACTGACTGCACCGAATAAACTCGACATTTTGAGGTGGTTTTCCTGGTTTTATGTCGCTAAGTCCCGTTGTTGTTGTTGTTAGCCAAGAGCGCATTTATAGTCCATGATCGGCTACTGATCGATGGCGGGCAAGCGATTGGAGAAGGCGGGCGAGCGGCGCCCAGCAGTGGCGTCAGCGTTGATTTCTAACCCGAGTGGTCGATAATCCATGCGACTCATACTGAACTTTAACGTCATTGAAGCGCTCAAACAGCTGCTCGTCTTCGAACTTTTTTTATGTTAATTTATTGCAGCTCATACATTGGCGGCTTCTAGTTTACATTAAGTACGACTTTGTTCCTAATGGAATTCCTTATGTCTTCTAGCTTTCATTCTTTGGTCGTTTTATCTCACTGTGGCACTTTAATCTTATATTCATCTTATAAAGCTGACTGCCCTGGCACAGTCGCCCACGCTGTTATACCATGATTTCTCGATCAGGTGGCGTATCGATTGACGCCCACGCTGCTGCTGCGAAGCGTCCATCGCGGAGCGGTCGTTATGGACCATGGATGTACGATATGGGTCCGAAGCTGAGGGCTCCCAACATATGCGTTCGACCAGCCGCCCACGGCTTATGGGTGGCTGATCTACGCGATCGCCCAATTCAGTGAAAAATCATTATCGGCGTCATCTATATGTAATTTTTCAAGCAACCTTGATAAACTGCAATGGCGGCACAAAAAAATTTCCAACTCCCAATTGATTTCATTTGAGCAAGTTTGGAAATGGCTTAGTACAAGAGGTGTCGGTGCCATTGTCACGATACAAGGATCAGATTACTCCCGAGTAGAAATCAAGGGTCCTCTTGAGAGGCAGGCAGTTGGTGGGAGGTAGTCATAGGTTTGTTTGTTCGTAGTTTTGTTCACCACGTATTCATCTAAAGCTATTACCTACGCCATTATCATATAATTCTTCAAATATTATTTTTTACCATTTGGAATGGCTGTTGAGCGCCCGGCGCATCACAAACTCTTGGGACAACGTCATAATTTCTATTTACTTAAGGTTTACCAAAGGTACCAAGGTTTGAGGGAGTAGGGCTTTTGTCACCTGACTGCTCTTCTGAATCGATAGCTCGTTGTGGGAGCTACAATGACAGTACACACAGCCTACAGTGCGGTACACGTTGTTCTATGAGCTGTGTGACTCAACCGAAGCGCTTAGTCATTCCAGCCCTCTCGAGACGTCCCTGCAGGGAAATACAATGACAGTGCAACAACGACAGCCCTTGGGATGCTATTGTACGAGTCTGTCCCGATTGTGATGCTTCCACTCCCCCTAAGATCAATCGAAAAAAATTGAACTTTCCAGTTTTCCTCATCAATCTACTTTTCATTCCTTCTCTTTTGATCTTTAAATTTTTGTGCTTCGTTACCAAAATCCCTCCAGAACTCCTATCTCCTTATGCTGGTTCTTTATAGTTCGATACAGTAATGGTTAGGGGGATCCGTACCATAGCTTGGAGAGTAAAAGCATCCCGAACCCTGTGTTTCCACAGCTCCACCCCAAAATCGAGTGCTTGGCTCATCCTCAAAGAACCAACTGTGTAATGTATCAACCAATTTCAAAAATTCTTCAAATAGTAAGGATGCATGGACGTCAGCATGAGCCAAAGTCCCGCCCCTGTAAGTGTTAGGGCGAAATTCGGAATGGGAAGTTCTCGCTAATATGCCTGATGTTTAGGTGTTATATGGGAGCAGGGTTTAGTGTTGAGGCACGTTTATGCCACAGTTGGTTATTAAAAGTCATTCAGCTCTACAAACCTAAGTAACATCCATATAAACGGCCCCAATACAAAATAGTGCTCCGGTGCTGCGTTGACCATATCCCATCAATCGCGCTTTGATTGCTGTGTTCCCAGCCTGCCTGGTTGCTAGAATGTGACGGTAATTCGGTAGTGGGAATTTCCTGTTTGAAGAATCTCGAAGCATCAGTCCCAATGAAGATGTCCAGCACAAGGTAATAGATATTCAGAATGTCAATGTCAACGGGACCTTAGTTGGGGACAGAAACCCTAAGGGTTATCCGTAACTGTACAATAAAAGCAAATGGGTGCAGAGTGATTGCACTAGATTGCCATTGCTTTTTAATGGTAGTGGACGTTTTCAAAAGATTCTGAACAACAAGGAAATCTATGTGTTCCGATAGCGGGGTGAAGGGAAAGGATAACAGGTAGAGAAGTAGACAGGTAGAGGTAGGCACGGGTAGACAAGCAAGCTCACCCTTAAGATGCTAGAAGACTCTTTGGTAGAATCATCTGTATCAGCTGTCGTCCCGTTGATAATCGATTTGCTCGAGCGGGTGCCAGTAACGTCTCGATTCGTCCCAGTCGCGAGACAGAGTAGCCCAGTGGACACACGCGGGACCATTCCTTTCGTTCAAAGCTTTCGGGATGAAGTCTGACCATTGACTTGGCGGCCGCTATGGAGTTCGCTTGATGTCCCGGATCCAGTCAGTAATCGCCCTGGTCCAACAGTCATCATGATATCTCATTACGGTCCGGCCCACCTGATCTTCGTTCGTTCTGGAGATTGGTTGNGAACGCTGAAGTGGGAGTGTCCTAGACAACTATACATTATTTAAGACTGCGTTCGACACACATTTTTTCTCTTCTCCTTATTCAGGTAACCAATTCTCCTCTATTGTGCTCAGGACCTTCTTAGAAATTTTCTATCAGGATCGAAATCAGATTTTTCTCTTTTTGTTCATTCTTCAGTACTGGCAGCAGGTAAGGGAATAGGGCGCTGGTACTGCTGTCGCCATTTCGGAGCGGCCAGACCGCCGCGTTAGCGGTGATCGCTCTGCGTGTTCCCTGTTCCAGGTTCAAGAGATATAGGGTCCTGACAAGATCTTCGCGTGAAAAATGAGCTTTCTTGAATTTGGAGAAAACTGCAAAAAACGTCAAGTCGAACCTTCGTCGTTTCGCTCTTCTGTAGCTCCCGATGAGTAACTCTCAAAACGGATAGAATGCTCCGACAGAATTTTATGCATATGTCCCGTGTCTATCCTCATAGTCTTAAACCAGGTGATATATTTAGGCTTTTTAAACCCAGACAGGGTAGTTCTTTTCTGTCTCCCACGCATTTTCAGGAAACACCTGAAGCCTTGGGAAAACTCGCCTGACTTCCTGTTTGTCAGTGAGCAAAATCGCATATTTGGAAACGTATAGGTTCTCATCTACATAAAATTCACTGTTATCAACAAGGTTCAGTTAAAAATTTGATGTTAGTTGCAACAAGCTCGAATCGAAGCTATTTCAAAATCATTTTTCATGACTCATTGACGGTCTGCTATCTCTCGTCCATGTTTGACTTCGATTATTTGCATTGTACATTAATGACTTATCAGAATCAGTCAATGTTTGATTTCAATGTTATAGAGGTGACACTTGAAAAAGGAATGCTGAAAAGAATTCAAGACGTTCAAAGCAAACTTCAATTCTGCTCAGGTTGTTCTGGTTCTCTGGACTCGAACAATCTCATGCATCATGCTCCCTGTTTACTTATAAAGCTTGGATGGAAGTTCTCCGCGTGGAGTGTTACCCGAACGAAATCCTCAGTATACGACCATAAGTACCATTGTTGGGGGCATTTCTCCGAAACCGGGTCGATGGGCGAGTGCGATATAAAAGGCCCAAACGGTATCCCGTACCCCTGACGTATCGAAGAAAACGAAAGGGAAGTGGTGGAGAACGTAATGTTTTGGCCCGTCGCTGAGCAGCCACCACAAAGTACAGGAACGAAAATTCAGTCCGGCACTCGGTTCTTACAGTAATCCGGCACGTGTTAATACGCATATTTTTACCCGTCACATATACGACGCGTCGAAAAGGGGCTTTGGGCAAGGACACGGGGGTGGTTGGTGGGTAAGCCAGGGGGTTACTGTAAGAACCGAGTGCCGGACTGAATCTCCATCCTAGTCCACAAAGTAGCACAACGCCCACCCCGAGGACCGGAGATAAAAGGTCCTGACACGATCATGACGTGGTCCCGAACAGATGCCACGCATGAGGACCACCACCCGGTGAAGATGTGGAGGTCGAAAAGCTAATCTCACTT